AGTCCTGAAGGCTTCTGGTACTCCCGTACCATTCCCAAGGCTGAACGTACCAACGCGCTTGCCGTCCTGCAAACACAAGCAACACCCGAGTCAGTACCCGTCATCGAAACAACAACAACAGCCGAAGAGCACCAACAACCACCGAACCTGTAGTCGAAGAACCAACCGTCGTCGTGGAACCACCTTCCGAAACTCCACAGCCCGGTCCCTTCGTCGTGCCACCACCACCTCCCATCATCGACACGCCACCGACAGCCGCCCAACAGTTAACGCCAGCACCACGCGCCATTCATCGAAGTGCAGCAACACACGCCGCCTTCTTCGCCAACGCAGACTTCTATCAACGCTCCGTCGATCACAGCGCCTCCGAAGACATTTGGCATCAACGCCTTGGACATCCTGGAAACAAGACACTGTATAACACAATACAAGCCGGAGTGTTAGACAAGAACGCTCTACTTCTTCCCAACGGACGAGAACTCGAACGACCACGCGGCACTTGCTTCATCTGTCCGGAAGCGGACTTGCCTCACCAACCGTTCCCGTCACATCACAACCCGAGCGCCCCCGTTTATCAACCACTCGAGAAAGTCTACAGCGACATCTTCTACATACCTCGAACCGAAGGACGTGAAGATCTGAACTACGTCATCACCTTCATCGACGCCGCAACACGTTATGTCTGGCACGTTAACTTACCGTCACGAGACATGGCTCTAGAAGCCTTCACAGCCTGGCTACCTGTCGCTGAAAGAGAATCGGGAGTAAAACTGAAGAGTTTTCAGTCAAATGGCGCGATGGAATACCAGTCACACCGCTTCAAGCAGTTCTTGGCAGAAAGAGGCATCAAACGCCTCATCTCTCTCCCTTACGCTCACCAACAGCAGGGTGTGGCAGAAAGGATGAACAGGACCCTGCAGACAACCATGCGAAAGCTGCTACGTGGAACACGACTGCCCAACTCAGAATGGCCAGTAGCGATGGACCACGCTGTCCTCCTGCACAACTTGCTGTCCTCGTCTTCACTGCCCAACAACGCATCTCCGCACCTGCTGTGGACTGGGAAGCTGGGCAACACAAAAATGTTAAGAGTCTGTGGGTGTATGGTACAGTACCGCCCACACACTGCACGCGCAGGAAGATTTTCGCAACGTGCACAGTGGGGCCTACACCTCGGGCTGGCAGGAAGAAGTGAGAGAGGACAGGACCCCCAGAGGGGTCTGCCAGGGAGACTGCAACTGGCCGACCAAGCGGCGTGAGTGTGGTGCGGTCTAGAAAGAAGGAGCGAGAAGCCCCTGAGTCAAGTGTGAAGGTGAGGGAGGCCGAAGCCGACGTGGTACCTGAGAGCGCAGACTCACCAGCACCTGAGGGCGCGGACGCACTGGCACCTAGAGCAGCAGCCTCACCAGTACCTAGAGCAGCAGGCTCAATGCCCGGGCCGGGCGGGAAACACCGGTAACAGTCACCCTCATCACTAATAGTCACAGCATACATGGCAGCAAGGATAGCATCAAAGTCAAGATCAAAGATAGCTACGCCTGCCCTAGACAGCTCTCCCCAGCGGGGGATCTCACTAGCCTCCGGGAACTGCTAACGCCAAGCGTCCGTCAGGCGGCCAAAGCAGCGCTGGGTGGGGTGAGCACCCCCACACTGCTCACCCGCGCAGTTGCCGGAGCGAAGGACGTAGGTGCACGGGCCAAAACCCCCACCACGCTGACGCTGCGTGTACCACTCACGGAGCTGCTGAGGAGGGGGGATGTCCCGAGAACGCTGCTGCTGCTGCTGCTGCTGCTGGCGCTGACCACTCCCGGAGCCGCTCCGCTGAGAAGAACCACCCCGACCAGCTCCACCTCCTCCACCACCGCCGCCTCCACCTCCGCCGCCACCGCCGCCTCCGCTCCCACCGCTACCGCCACCGCTGCCTCCGCCTCCGCCGCTGCCACCGCCACCTCCACCCCCGCCACCACTCCCACCGCCACCCCCACTCCCCCCGCCGCCCCCACCGCCACCTCCACCACCCCCGCTAGCCCCACCCGGGCCCTTGCCCCCCTTGCCCTTGCCAGAGCGGCGTTTCCCGATAGGGGCAGACGCCGCACCGACCGACTCAAGACTACGAAGCTTGGCGAATCTTCGACGTCCACACAAAGGAAACAGTAGCAGCACGTGATGTTATCTTCTACGAGCGACTCACCCTCAACCATTACCTGGACAACATTGCACGCCATGTTGAACCCACCGGCGGATTTTCTGGCTCCCGAGCCTTCGCTTCACCCTCCGACGCTGCTGACTGGGAAGAAGAAAACGTCGACGGCGCCTCCGAAGCTGCTGGACCCCTTCCCTACTGCTCCGTCCCAATCCCCATGGACGACGAAAATCCTCGCGACAGCGTGAATGCCGACGCCTACTACCATTTCCCCGACAATGGTTACGTAACACCCCAACCCGTCAACACCGACATTTCTGAACGCTATGGCCCTGGATTTGCACCTGATCCTGAAGCGAGAGACGAAGCAGTCTATCCCGAGGATCCCCTGATGAACCGTCACACCCCCAGCGGACTCCAAGTTCTGGGGCTCGTCACTGCTGTGCACGGGACTTCGACGCCACCTGAAGAGCCTCGATCTATCAAGCAGGCTCTGGGGGGGGGAACACAGAGAAAAGTGGCGTGAAGCCATGGAAAAGGAGTTAAAAGCGCTATCAGACCGCAACACCTGGAAGATCGTCCCTGCATCACTCGCACAAGACAGACCCATTCTCTCTGGGAAATGGGTATTCCGGATCAAAACCAACTCCGACGGAACCATCGAACGATTTAAGGCTCGATGGGTCGTCCGTGGATTCGACCAAGAATTTGGTCGCGACTTCACCGAGACTTTTGCTCCAGTCAGTCGGCACACTTCCCTACGCATCCTTCTCGCCGTCGCCGCCTCACGTCGCCGCCCACTCCGACAAATCGACGTCGCCAACGCTTTTCTGTACGCCCCAGTCGACGCCGAAATCTTCGTCGAACAGCCCCACGGGTTCGTCGACGACCCTTCCCGTGTCTGTCAACTACTTAAATCGCTGTATGGAATCAAACAGGCACCGCGACTCTGGCAGCAGTACCTGCACGCACGACTTAAACGTATCGGATTCGACCAACTGCCCCATGACCAGGGCATGTATCGCCTCACCCATGACAACGACTACGTCTTGCTAATCGTCTACGTCGATGACTTACTCTACATCGGGTCAACTACCGCCATCGTCACCTGGTTCGAAAAGGAGCTCCAAAGGGATCTCTCCCTCACAGTCTCACCCGACGTCACGCAGTACCAAGGGCTCAACATTCTCGACGAAGACAACGCCATTCATCTCAGCGCCTCAAAATACGCAAGCACTATCGCCGAACGCTTGTACTTCACACCGACGCACGTCGCAACACCCTACAGTCACCTATCGCCCGACCCAACCGAAGAAACCAAACTACTGCCGTCTGCCGGAATCCAGGAATATCAACAGAAACTGGGCTGTCTACTTTTCGCCGCCGTCACATGCCGACCGGACTTATCCTACAGCGCCAGCCAGCTAGCGACCTACCTTAAACGCCCAGAACAACGTCACCTCAAGGAGCTCAACCGAGCCCTTCTCTACTTCATCTCGACGCCAACAGTTGGCCTAACATATCAGAAGAGCACGACGACCGATCTAAAACTACTCGGTTACGTCGACGCTGATCACGCTGCTGATCGTGTCGATCGTCGCTCTCGCACCGGCTACGTCTACCGTCTCGAGCCCATCGGAACTATCTCCTGGCAATCGAGTAAGCAGGAACTCGTCGCACTATCATCTGCTGAAGCAGAGTATATTGCTCTCTGCACCGCCACCAAGGAAGGTCTGTACCTGCGCGAACTGCTGGAAGAAGCGAAAATTGCGAAGGTACCCTACTTCTCGCTTTTCTGCGACAACCAGTCCGCGATACGCATCGCGAACAAGAACGGTTTCGCCAACAGAACCAAACATATCGCACTGCGATACTTCTTCGTGAAAGACGAAATCGAGAAAGGAAAACTCCAGCTGGACTACTGCCCGACCACCGAGATGGCAGCAGATTATCTCACCAAGAAGTTACCAAAGGGGAAATTTGAGTACTGCATGCTGCTTACCGGATTGGGCCACGTCACCGAAGCTGACCACGTCGACACTCCAGAAACGAAGGGGAGTGTTGGGAATATAAACGCATGACTTAGTGCGTTTCTGTAGTATCGAACCTCACCCGATACTGAAGCACAACAAAAGGGGTACGAAGTCGAAAGGGCGCGTACCACATCAAACCGCAACTGGAGGTTGCGAGCTGTAACCGCCTGGAGGTTACGTAACAGCAAGCGACGCTTCAGTGAACAGTAACCGCCTCGATAGTCGAAGCGTTACGCGTCTCGATAAATACAACCGCTTCCTGTAATCTATCTTTCCTATATATTCCTGTATGCTCTTTGCTTTAATCAATTACTTGTTCTCACACACCAGCACAAGTACATTCACTCAAGTCTTCCGCTGTGCTACTCTAGCACCTACTAGCCTATTCTCTGCAAAGATCCTAAGGCTGAAATTCTCAGCCCAACAATGCACATGGTACTGTGATTGAATGGACCAGCCCTGAGTTGATTGTGTTGGTCTGAAAAATGCCTTGGGATTTCTTTTTTCAACAGATAGCAACTTCAGACCAGTAAGAGCTGCAAGAATCCAGGACACGTAGAGTGCAATTGGAATTCATGCAGACAGATGCAGGTGAGGTTGTTTCAACCAATATGTCCCAGCGGGCTGGCTGAAGGCATGCATTGAATCACTAGTTGCAGCACAAACAGGGGGTGATCGCAAACAATTTGATGCATCTGAAATAAGGGCAGTGACAGCATGGCATGCAGGCAGCAACGACCCTCAGCAGACTCCACTTTTCACACTCGGCTCCCCCGAGCAGGCACACTACAGCACCACCTAGAGCTGGAGCAACGAGAAAGATGCTAGTCATGTGGTAGCAGGGTGAGGAGGTGAGGGGTGACCCTGTATCCCTGCTCCTCCATGTATTGCACCACTGCTGCTGCTCGCTCATGCATGCCTGCCTTGCAATACCCCTGCACCATCACCTCACACGTGCCCTTGCTCACCACCACATCACTGCTGCTGCAGCAGCAGCACCCCGCACCGCCACCCACCGCCCCGTGCCCGTCCCCACCCCCTCCTACTCGCATCCCTTGTGCTGCCGCCCCACTCCTCTGCCTCGAGCCACCACTCACCCTCACTCCATACTCCCCTTCCCACTCCTCCAACCAACCGTTGCACCCTCTACCCCAGCCCCGCACTGCTGCTCTTGCTGCCCGTCTGCGCAAGCAGTGAGGGCAATCCCAGGGCAGGCGCGCCCAGGGGGGGTGGGAGGGCATGGGGAGGCATGAGCTGCCAGCAGCATCGAATGTCCCCACTCCACCTAGCTCCGGCACAGCCTGTGCCGCACGGTGAGAGTTGAGAGAGGCGCGGTGGGGGGGGATGAGGGCGGGCGAGGGCGAGTGCAGGTAGCAGAGCAGCAGTGCGTCCATGTGGAGCAGCAGCGATGCCTGCTGCAGCGCCGCCAGCACCATGTTCCACGGCGTTGGGGACATGGCAGGCCGTGCAACAGCAGCAGCAGTAGCAGTAGCAGTAGCAGCAGAGGCAGCAGCAGCAGTATGTGGGGAGGGCGAGAGTGCGGATGGAACTGATAAGGCAGGTGCAGAGGAGTGTGGCAGCGGTGGTTGTGCGGGTGCACGTGGCGATGCAAGGGCCATGGCAGGCGTTGGCAGCAGGCGGGCAGCAGCAGCGGAGAGGAGGAAGCGCATGGCATGGTAGAGATCACCCGCCGCCACATACACGCCCACCATCGCTGCTGCGGCCATGCCATCCAACCTGCCCCACGCTACCTTGTCCAAACCCCCCCCGCCCTCCCTTTCCGCATCCTTATCTTTCTCTCTGTTCCTCTGCCATGCGCCTGACCCACTCTCCTCCCCAGAATCCCCTCCCCTTCTGTCATCACCCTCCCGCCTCCCGGTTCCACCGTCCCACCTCGCGCGCCTGCCTTCCCTCTTGCTCCGCCACAAATACCCTTCTACCTCCCCAATCCCCCTCTCCTGTGCACTCCACTCTCCTCCCTCCCGCCCCTCCCCCGCATCCCCCCCAGCACCACCTGCTTTCTGCACCACTCGCGGCTGGGAAGCCTCAGCGAGGGCCCAGAGGGCCTCGGCAGCAGGCACGAGGTGCAGGCGAGCCATGGCGCCCAGCACGAGCGTCACCATCGGTGCATCTGGCACCACTGCTGCATGCCTCCCACCCACCATGCACCGCGCGTGCTCTGCTGATGCTGCATCAGCTGCACATACTGCTTCTGCCGATGCGGGCCCTGCCACAGGGTCGCCTGCTGCACTCCCACCCCATCCAACCTGCATCCCTTCTCCGCCCTCCTCGCTCCCCTCCTTGCTTTCTGCTTCCCCGCTTCCCCCTTCCCCAACCCCCCTTTCCCCAGACCCTTGTTCCCAGCCCCCCCTCGTGACAGCGTCCCACAGTTGCAGTACGGCGCCATCATCACCCCTGGCGGCATGGGCGGCCATGACAGCTGTCACCGTCGCAGCTGTAGGCGCCACGCTCGCTGCTCTCATCGCTGCCAGCACGCGCTGCACTCGCCCCACCGCATCACTGTCCCGCGGACCCCCACTGCTGCTGCTGCTGCCAATGCTTCCCCACTGGCCTATGTCAATGGCGGGAATACGGGAAGTAGTGGCAGCAGCGACAGCGGGCGGGGTGAGGGCAGCAGCGGAGGCGGAGAGAAGCGTGTTGAAGATGACGGCGTTGGGGCGCACGTGCATGCGCGCCATCACGGGCAGCAGCGCCTCCGCATCCCCCACGTGCCCCGCCTTGCACAGCGCGTGCATCACCGCACCAAACGTCGCCTCGCTCGGCCAGCACTCATGCCTCGGCCAGCACTCATGCCTCAGCCTGCCCTCGCTGCTGACGCTGCCCTGCCCACTCTGGCTTGTGAGGTGAGCAGATACTTGGGCGCTGTTACTGGCAGCGGTGGTGGCAGGGGTGGCAGGGGTGGCAGGGGTGGCAGGGGTGCAGCGCTCCACCATCTCGGTGAGCAGCGCCACGGCCATGTCCGCCCTGCCCGCCCTGCCACACGCACATATCACCGCGTTGTACACTGCTGTGTCTATGCTGCTGCCGCCTCCGCCCCGCGCCTGCTCCCGTGCACCCACCCCTGCCCCCTCATTCCCTCGAAGCTGGCGTCCCCACTCCCCCTCCCCCTCCCCCTCCCCCTCGCCCTCGCCCTCGCCCTGGGCACCCTCCTCGCGCTGCACGGCGCGGAACACAGCGAGGGCGTGGCGCAGGCGGTTGCAGCGCGCGAGCAGGGCGAGCAGAGCGCACAGCACGTGCGGACTGCGCTGGTACGCTGGGGACCCGCGCCAGCTCTGCCATAGCTGCGCGGGGCGGGGGGACATGCGCGCAGGTGGAGGGGAAGGAGAGAGGGGAGGGAGAGAGAGAAAAGAAAGGGGGGGAAGGGGGAGGGGGAAGGAAAGTGAGCGTTGTGCGCGCAAAATGGCTAGTTTGGATGACGTCATGCACATGCACCCCGTGCTGCCATGGCATGCCCCGTCACCACCCCCTAGATCGTACCAGCATTGCAGCGCGCCACGAGTGCAAGTCCGCCAGAGCCTGCATCAGCGCCACCACCACCCCACTGCGCACCCACACGCCCCCTGCCCCTTTACCCCCGTCCTCCCTCTCGCCCCGTCCTGCTGCTGGTCCCGCCCCGCCCTCCCCGCGCCCCTCTGCCTCTGCGCCTCCCCCAGCTGCCTCCCCCCTCTCGCCCACAGCCGCAGCCAGCATGGCGTCCACGTCAGCAACGCATCGCGCGGAGGAGTGCAGCTGCCGCGCCAGCGACCGCACCTCCCCTGGCTGCAGCCTGCGCGAGGCGCGCCGGTGGGGCGGCGGCGCTGCCCGGCCCTGCTGCTGGTGGCGCCGGGGCTGCCTGGGGCGCATGGCGGGCCCACGGCGTGCGCCGCCCCCCGCACCTGCTGCCCCGCCGCCCGCCCCCGTACACGCTCCCCTCTCTCCTGCCCCGCGGCTAGGAGCCGAGCTGCCACAACCGCCGCCTTCCCGTGCGCCTACACTCCCCCGCCTCTCATACTCCCCCGGCCCCTCGTCCGCACTATCCCCAAACCCCCCTGGAGAATTCTCTAGCCACCGCCCTCCCACCCTTGCTTCCGCCACCATGCCCTGCGCCGCGTCCCCCACAGCGCCTTCTTCCCCCCACCCACTCCCCGGCGTATCAAAGCTATCCGCGCGCAAAGCTCGCGCCCACCCCCTTCGCCCCGCCGCCTGCCTCCCCTGCTCCCCTGCGACGCCGCACGTTTCTCTCGCCCCATCCCCTTGCTCCGAATCTCCCGCCCTCTCCCTAGCCCGCCCACCTCTGCTCCGTGCCACGTCAGCATCAGTGTCAACGGGCTGGAGGCTCCTCTGCCTGCTGGTGCGATCCTTCCGCCGCGCCACAGGCGCCTGAGTTCCGCGCATTTCCCCCTCTCGTAACGGCCCCTGCGCCCCCTCTTCCCGCCACCCATCGCCCTTGACGGCCCCCGAGCATTCCCCCACTCGTACTTTCAACTTCCCCCTTTCAGCTTCTCTCTTTTGACTATCCCCACTCTCATCCCCTCTCCTCGCCCGCTGCTCGCCCTCCCTGGCTTCCCTCCGCCTTCTCCCCCCGTTCTCCCGCCCATCTTCCGCCCATCGTTCTCCGCGTGTGTGATCCGCGTTGGCGCTTCTCTCCCCCCACCACCACGCCTCCACCGCCGCGTAGTCATCCGCGGAAACCTCCCGCCCCCCCGCATCTCTCCGCCTGCCGAATCTCCCCAAACCCCCCTGCCGCGTCCCTTCCGCCAGTGCGCGCAACTGGCGCTCCCCCGCCCCCGGCGAGTTCACGGGGGGAAGGCGGCTCTTTTGCTGAGGATGCCGGGATGGGGGGCGGCAAGGGGAGAGGGGAGGGAGGCGAGGGGCGCAATGAGGTGGGCGGAAGGGGGTACATCGGAGCAAGCAAGCGGAACGGAAGTGGTGATAGCGGATCCGCCGATGGCGGGCATGCACCAGCCGGTAGCGGCTAGCAGGCTCCGCGTAAGCAGCGTGCGCACAGGTCACCTGAGCGGGCGCGCGGAAGAGTGGCCCGTCGGGGGTTGCTTCCCGCGCTGACTGCACGCGCACCGCCGCCCGCCTCCCACTCCGCCCGCTTCCATTCGTACGAATGCTTGCGGCCTCGACTGCCGCGGCAGCGCAACAGGGGCAGAGGACGGCGGCAGTCATGCCTGGGAGCGGGGGCGAACGACGCGGAAAAGCGCGCGGGGAATGAGCACGCGGGGCTAGCGGAGGCGAGTGGCGGAAAGCGGAGCGCTGTGAGGTGCGCAGAACGGGGCTGCTGGGAAGAACGGAGAGCAATGGATGGACGCGAGACGAGGGCGACGCGGAGACGATGGCGGGGAAAGGGAGGAGAGCGATGAGACGGAAACGAGAGGAAAGACTGCGAGGGCGACGATGAAAAACGCTCGACAGGCGAGGAGGTGGAGCTGGATTGTTGGAAGGAGCATCGTGGATCGCGGAGAAAGCGCGGAGTTGGCCCAAGATATTTTCGAGTGCCTCAGATCCAGCAGAGGCCCAGCACTGACAGGGTGGAGGCTGACGCAAGGTTTAGGGTTGCTGATATCTGCGACAAACGCTGACGGGATCAGAAATGGTTTGTACTGTTTTAGGAAATTTCAAGCTCACAAAAAAAAACGAGTTGGACAATCATAGTACGTTGCACAGGAATATCAAAGCTCACGCACAGAACCATCCAAATTTGATTAGAACGAAAAAAAGGGCACCTACGTCCCTATTACCGTATGTTTAGCACGTAAGTTTCTTAACCGCAGCACACAAGCATGTACAGCCACGAGAAGAGATGAGAGTGGATGAAAATCAAGGGGATGCGGAGCGGTGGAGGAAAGTGGCATGGGAAGTGAGAGGCGTTTTCAGGAGATGGAGAGGCGTGAGAGGTCAGCAGCGAGCTTGGTGGGCAGCAGCTGCACCATCTCCTTGGCCACCCCCACCTCCGCCTGCAGCTGCTCTTGTAACCCCACTCGCGCTGCATGCTCCAAGAACTTGCTGCTCGGTCACACACACAACAGGGGAAAGGAGGGAGTAGAGTTCAGATGCAGTGTGGCGGGGATGGGGAGGTGAGAATGAGCGAGAGTCATCCTGTGGGCAAGTTTGAGCAGTGGCGAGCAAGGCACGGGAGAGTGGAGAGGTGCGGTGGAGAAGAAGCAAGGCTCCCCTTTGTGTGTGTGCAGAGGTGTATGGGGAGAAGCTGACCTGAAGTAGTTGAGGCTGTGCTGCAGATGATCCTTGCCGTCTGTTGCGCTCACACACAGCCCCGGGCACAAGGCCGAATCGCATGGGCGCAATGGGGAATCGCATGAGTGCAATGGCCATGTGTATGGGCACATGGGGGAGAAGGATGATCGCACTGACACAGCATGAGCATCACAGCATATGGTTGAGAACATGAGTGCATGGCGCGGCAGACAGGTAGGTGGAGTGAATGTGGTGGGGGACAGAGACAGGCAGGGTGAGGCATGAGGGGGAAGGGGAGGAGGGCAAGCAGGCATGTGCAGGACAGCAGTGGCAGCACATGGTGATGCACTCAGGGAAGCACTCATGGGGGAAGCAAGAGAGCAGCTGAGAGGAATGGACGAGGGATGGACGAGCGATGGAGGAGGGGGGGTATGCGGTGCAAGGGGCGGTGCAAGGGGTGGTGCAAGGGGTGGTGCAAGGGGTGGTGCAAGGGGCGGACCTTGGGGCGGCAGCAGAGTGCAGATGCGGTAGTGCGTGCGCGCGATGTGGAAGTGCGCGTACACAAAGCGCACGTCGTCGCACCCCTGGGGGCTGTGGGGCGGCGTAGACGGCATGGGGCAGAACGATGACGCCAGGACCCGGTGATATGGAGAAGCGCATGGTGGGATGCAGAGCGGCATACAGCACAGGCACATCAAGGCAGAGATGCGCGCAGCTCAAGTGGAATGAGAGACGGATGGTAAATGCAGCAAGGCAGCACGAGTGAGCATGGTGGAGGGGGAAAGGGAGCGCAGTGGCACTGACGTGGACGATTGCATGAGAGCGATGAAGCGCTCAAAGTACTGGATCGCCTGTGGGGCCATGGCGGGGGGGGGGGGGAAGACAACAGACAGTGAGAGAGAGAAGGAAGGAAGTGGCGGGAAGCGGGAAGGGCGAAGCAAGAGACAAGACGTTCGATCCAGGCAGGTTAGCTGGGCCATGCAAGTATATCCCTCTGCTTCTGCATGCCCACACCACAGACCCTCAATCCTCCCCCCCTGCACGCCCATGGCAGCATGCGCACCTGCTTGCCCGGCTCTATGATCTTGGGAGGGGGCCGTGCTGCATCCGCCTCCAGCTCCATGGCGTTGAGTGCAATGGACGCCACCTCGTGCACACACTGCCATGCACGCACGGGGTCAGGGCGGGGGGGGGAGAGAGGGGCACCGTGAGGTGATACGGCCAGGTGGGGACAGCGGGGGGGCCACATGACGGGGAGCATTGGGAGGAGGGCGCTGTGTGGGGGAGCAACGGGAGGGAGGAAACGTGTGCATGAGTTGGGCAATTGACAAGGCGGGGGGGCAGTGTGAGGGCAGCATTGCTTGCCTGAGCGGCCTGTGTGGGGTAGACGGAGGGGTTGATGGCAGGCGCGAGGGGCAGCAGGCGCGTGGCACGTCGCTGGTGGATGAGCGCTGCCCTGTGTGCACTGGGCTCATAGTACGCCAGGTACTGGGGAGGATGGGGGGACAGAGGGGAGGGGAGGGGAGCGCAGTGGGGGCGAGGAAGGAGCAGCAGGGGGGAGGGAGACGAGGGGAAGAGAAGTCCGGTTGCAAAAGAATGGAGAGATGCAGGATGCGGGCATGGAGCGGGCAGTTATGGGAGAAGCGAAAAGGAAGAAGAGGAAAAAGAGATGGAAACGGGTGGGCGAGGGTGGGCTGCGGTGCAGTGAGGTGCAGGGCGGTGTGAGGAGGGTACCCGGTGCAGCGTGCTGATGTCCATGGCGATGTCGAAATGATCTGAGAAGCGGTCTGTACTCGTGTACACCTGGTGCCAGGGAATGACATCCGTGCGGCCGGGGTGACACGCAGGAGAGCGCAGCAGATAAGAGGACAAAGAAGGGGAGGACCCGTGGGGGTTATAATTAAGCACAGTTGCGTATTTCTCTGTTGTGATGCGGAAAGAAGAAACAGATTCTGTAGCACCACACCTCGAGGGCGGCCTTGAAGGCAGTCATGGCCTTGTTGAAGTGGATCACCGCATGCGAATACTCCCGCACCACATCCCCCTCGCCCTCCACCCCGCGCCCCTCCCCCTTCTCCCCCCCTGCTCCTTCCCCATTGGCGAGCATGCGTGGGCATGTGTCAGCTTTGGGGTCCAGTCCCAGCAGGGAGAAGTCGGGTCCCAGGGCAATGTCCACGTCGCCCTCGCCCGCCCACCGCTCACCGCCCTCCCCCTCACGCTCCTCCGCTCCCTCCCCCATGTCCACATCGCCCTCCTGCTGCCCCTCCCGGCCCCCTCCGTCCACGTCCATGCCCCCCGTTGCAGCACCTGCGCCCGAGGGGGCAGCGCCAGCAGGGGCATCGCTGCCCGTGGCTGCACTAGCACTGCTGGTGGCAGTGGGAGCGGAGGGGGTGGGCGTGGGAGTGGCGGTGGCGTGGGCAGCAGGGGAGGCGTCAGGCTGGGCTGCGTCCAGCTCCACTGACCGCTGCAGCACTCGCAGGTGCCTGGGGACGGGTGGGGGGAGGTGGGAGGCGAGGACAAGTGTGGGAGGAAAGCAGGCGCATGTAGAGGCGTGCAAAGATGGGCAGGATGGAGCGCTCAAGGATGCGGGTCGAGTGAAGCGTGCAGAGGCGATGAGATGAGGGACACGAGGGTACGGCGGCGTTGAAAACAAAGGTGAGAGAGCAGCAAAGCACGAGAGCACATGAAAGAGAGCGGAGCGAGGCTGAGAGCAGCTCACACTTTCCCGATGCCAATGTTGATGTTCGCCGCCACCTCCCGCACCTGCTCCTCCTCGCCCCCGCCTGCCTCCCCCCCTCCGCCCCCCACGTCCCCCCCATTCCCCCCTGGCAGCACGGGCTGCCCCGCCGTGTGGCGAGCGAGCACGGTGGCAGCAGCGGCGAGGCAGTGCAGGGCCGTGCTGAAGTGGTCGCGGCCCAGGTAGTACCCCGCTAGCTGCGCGCAGTTCTGCGCCCAGTCCCACGCGCGGAACTGCTGCCGCAGCCGCAGCTGCCGCGTGAGCGTGGCCGCACAGAAGGCTGCGGCGCGCTGCTTCTTGCCCATGGCCGCCAGCGCTGCCCGCCCCACAGCGCAGCGCAGGGGGGAACAGATGGACCCCCAAGGGGTGGGGATGAGTGGGAGAGGGAAGAGGGTGTTGGTTGAGCAGGCAGTAGTGACAGTGGTGGTACAGCTAGGCTGGGAAGAGAGGCAGATGACACGGGTTGCAAAAAGGCAGAAGGGCCAGGGGTGTGTGATGGGATACGATGGTGTGTGCTGTTCGGTGCTGTGCGGTGTGACGTACTCTGAGCGAGGTAGAACGTGGTGATGGTGTGCAGGGACTCCACCTCCCTCGCCTCCTCCTCCCCCCTTGGCTCACTCCCGCCCCCCTCCTCCATTGCGTCTGCTGCTGCTGCCTCCCCTGCAGCCTGCGACTGCATGTTGAGGTAGTGATGATAGCTGGTGCGCGGCAGATGGGAGAGGCATGACAGGGAGCGGTGGGGGAAAGGAAAGGATGGGGAGATGGGGAGCAACATTCATTGCACAGAGGACGCGGAAACACAAGAAAGGAATGAACGGAGAGCAGGCGGGAGTGCGTTGAGAGAGTGTGTGAGAGCGGAGGGGTCGTACTATTTATGTGCTCTGACAAGGAATGAGAGGGACGCCTTGTGGTCGTCATCGTTGCTCGCTAGCAGCCCCAGCAGGTTGCACACGTCCTGTGGTGCGCGCATGGCCATGTGGCCATGGCGTGGCAACGGAATGTGGAGAGCGGACAGTGGGAGGGAGCATGAGTCCCAGAGAAATGAGAGAAGATTCAGAGGGGATATGTGGAAAGGGGGAGGTTACTCTGCGCAGGGTGTGAGCTGCCCAGGTGTAAGCATGCATGCGTGCATGGATGTGTGTGCATTCGTGCAAGTGTGTGCATGCACGGGGCATACAATGAGGGGGCGAAGGTGTTTGGGCTCGTTGAGCTGCAGGCGGGCATGGGCGTGCATGAGCAGGCCCTTGGCGCGCGTGACCTCGTCCACGTCAGCCGCGATGGCACCACTCTTGTACTCCAGAACTGCCAACGCGTCCGCTATCTCGCCCGCCATCGCCTGCTCTAATGCACACATGCATGCACATGCACACACACACATGCACACATGCATGCACACATGCACACATGCACACATGCACACGTGCATGCACATGCACACACACACATGCACACATGCATGCACACATAAACACATGCACACATGCACACATGCACACATGCACACATGCACACATGCATGCACACATGCACACATGCACACATGCACACATGCACACATGCATTCACACACATGCAAACATGCATGCACACCCATGCACACATGCATGCACACATATGCACACATGCATCCACACATGCACACACATGGAAACATGCATGCACACACATGCACACACACACACACACACACACACACACACACACACACACACACACACACACACACACATTCCCATGGCATCCACGCATGTACATGTCTTGAGTCAAGGTATTGTCTGCTATGGAGGAAGAAAGGCTGATACACGTACAGGGCAGGCCACCAGTGGCGTGGGAAAGTAGCCACACGCACGAAAGCGCGGCCCGGGGACTGTCTCCTCGCAGGGTGGGACTCACCCTGCTATGGCCGCTGAATTGCGAGCCCCCACACTCACCGCGTCCTCGCGTGCAGCATGTGCAGACTCGGCAGCAGTGGAGTGGTGTGAGGCAGCCGGGTGGAAGAGACGCAGCAGCATCTCCGCCTTGCCTCGCGATGCTTCCTGCACGCCGCGCCCAGGGATAACGCAGCGATGGGGAGGGTTGGCACATGGACCGGGAGGGATAGCGCAGGGACGGGGAGGGATAGCACAGGGACGGGGGGGATAGCGCAGGGACGGGGGGGATAGCGCAGGGACGGGGGGGATAGCGCAGGGACGGGGGGGTTAGCGCAGGGACGGGGGGGATAGCGCAGGGACGGGGGGGATAGCGCAGGGACGGGGGGGTTAGCGCAGGGACGGGGGGGATAGCGCAGGGACGGGGGGGATAGCGCAGGGACGGGGGGGTTAGCGCAGGGACGGGGGGGATAGCGCAGGGACGGGGGGGATAGCGCAGGGACGGGGGGGATAGCGCAGGGACGGGGGGGATAGCGCAGGGACGGGGGGGATAGCGCAGGGACGGGGGGGATAGCGCAGGGACGGGGGGGATAGCGCAGGGACGGGGGGGATAGCGCAGGGACGGGGGGGATAGCGCAGGGACGGGGGGGTTAGCGCAGGGACGGGGGGGTTAGCGCAGGGACGGGGGGGTTAGCGCAGGGACGGGGGGGTTAGCGCAGGGACGGGAGGCATAGCACAGGGACGGGGTGGGATAGCGCAGGGGCGGGGGGGATAGCACAGGGACGGGGAGGACGGGCGCAGGGACGGTGGAAGGGGTGATGCAGAGACATTATTTATGCGAGACAGAGCAGGCGGATGGGCTCCCAAAGGAGGAGCAGGCAAGGCGAGTGGAGGAGGAGCAGGAGATGCGTGAGAACGAGTAGGACGAAGGAGAAGACGGGCGTGAAGGAGGCGAGCATGGAAGAATAGGGTGGGTTGAGGCAGAGGCGCACCAGTGCAGCAGCGGCCGCATACTTGGACCGGTAGGGCCTGCCGTGGACGAGACAAGTGGCAGCGCGGAGCGACAGGGGAGTGGGATAAGACGCACGCGCACAGGTGTGAACGAGATGGCCGAACAGCGGAACTGCTGGGTGAGCACGCGAGGGCATGGCGAGTACACGAGGTGCATGCAAGGACGGCGGGGTGGAGAGTGGGCGAGAGACGTGTGTGTGCGGTGCAGGCATGGCAGCGCGAACACAGCTGTTGCGAGTAACAGCCTCGCATCCCTCGCAGTATCTCCACTCGCGTCGCTCCCCTCGCCCCACTCTCACTCACTCTGTCTCGGGGTCCTCCACTGCCGCCAACTGCGCTGCCGTCGCCAGCACCTGCGAGGGCCAAGGGGAGGGAAGGGAGTGAGCGGAGCGCATGGGACTCTAATATCAAGCTGGCCGTTGCCGCGGCGGTCCGTCGACCAGCAAGCAGGAGGCATGCGTCGCGAGCGGTCACGCACGGCACTACTGATGCAGAGCGTGCGACCGCAAATCCTCGTCGCAATTGCAGAGGATAGGCAGGACGCAACGGCCAGCGGCAAGCAACGGCATCCCAGGCGGGCGGCAAGGCACCACGTGGTGCCCCCGCCGACCACCTTCGGCCTCGTCCCGTTAGCCGCCACAGCCGTGCGCTCCGCGCGAGAGTCAGATCCGCGAGCTGCGACGAGCCACGCGGATAGAGAGGCGCACCTGGGGGAACTCGTCGCGGAGGAACGACGTGGCCGCCGCCCGCGTGGCGTGGTCGATCGCAAGCGGCATTGGCGGCACGGGAGGCGGAGAAGCGGATGGGGCATGGGATCCCTGCAGCTCCATCGCCGTGTCTCACGACGCTGCTGCTGCTTGCGACGTGGCGAGACTGATGGCCGATAGAATGAGATAACAGAGCGAAAGAAGCAGGCATATGACGGGGAAGAATTCAAGGCAGAGTTGTGGCTCAACGAAGTTCGGTTTGGGTGGCTGCGAGACCAAGAATGGCCTTTGGGATCTGTGTTGGAATATCAAGGGCTTCGCGCCAATCCGCTCTGCCACGCAATTTCCAATATTGTGTCCGCTATGCGTGAATATCGTGTTATTCAGCAATATAGATATACAGCTTTACTAGTATACAGAAAGTATAGTAAAACAGCGTTGCCAAATACTATTCAAGCTCAAAATCAGTGCACTTCATTGAAACATGTCCTTGGCTGTTAAGTTCATTGACGCGACAGCATTGCACGTCCCACAAATTTATTAGGAAAGCCTCCCATCCCATTATGCTCGCACACTCCACATGCCGCTTAGGAGCATGCAGCCAGGGAGTGGTCTCCCAAGTCTGCCTCTGCTGCACTCCGCCATGCATCCACCCCCACATCACACAACGGCGCACTCCTGTCCTCCCCGCCTCTCTCCCCCACACTGGCCACGGCCGCTGCAGCTGCAGCAGCCATGCCAGCAGCAGGATGGGTGACAGAGCGCAGGGGGCCAGACATGCGAGGCGCCAGGGGCCCGGAGGCGGAGCGCATCTGGCGGGAACGCAGGTCGGAGAGGAGTATGTCAATGTCCAGCCCCATGTCGCCCTCCGTGTCCTCCTCCCCTCCCATGCCCCTGCCGGCGCCCGTGCCCGCGCCACTCCCTAAGGACGTGCTGCCGTTACCGCAGGTGTGCTGTGCGTCGAGTGTGGGCCCTGACGACAGCATGAGGCGCGAGGCAGGCCGGGCGGCAGCAGGGGAGCCTGAGATGGACCCCGAGGACAGAGCAGCGGCGTGAGTGAGAGAGGAGAGGGCGTGAGAGAGCGTGGCCACGCCCATGCTGCGGCTCATTCCCAGCATGGAGCGCCGCCGCCCCTCACTCGCTCCACTGCCTGTACTGCTGTCGCAGGAGCCGTGGGAGAGGGAGCAGGGCACACGCGGCAGGGAGGCAGAGGGGGAGCCATGGGAGGTGCTGCGGCAGGGGCTGTGTGCAGAGGGGTGCGCGCGAGGGGAGAGGCAGGCTGGGCTCATTGCTGCAGGGGTGCTGGCATGGGAGGAGACGGATGGGGGTGCTGCCCTGTTGGGACTGCTGTGGAATGAGGAGGGGGCACCTGATGGCGATGCTGCTGCTGCTGCTGCTGTGCTTGTGATCACCCCAGCAGCAGCAAGGGCAGCATGAGTGAGAGGCCCAGAATAGCGATCATATACAGAGGAAGCGTCACCCGCTGCACTCCCCATGCAATCCACCCACCCCATCTCCTCCTCCTGCCATCCGTCACTGCACTCCCCACCAAACTCCCCCCTCTCCGCGTCATCCACGTCCCCTTCGCCTGCTCCATCCACGGCCCCCCAGTGGCCGTGCCACGGCATGCCGTCCACAGCAGCGGCCATGTGCGCGCCCATGAGCAGGGCGCGCTCACCGGCGGCGTCCAGGCGAGCGCCCACGACCATCTCGTCCACGTCCAGCCCGTCGTCGTCATCATCAGCGGCGCCCAGGTGCACGAGGTGGCTGTGCTGCACCGACAGGTACGCCAGCGACGCGTTCATGCGCCTCACGCTGTCACTGTCGTCCCGCCCCCGCCACTCGCGCCGCCGCCGCCGCCGCCACTGGTGCATGCTGGCAGGCGTGGTGGTGGCGGGTGGTGCGGGAGTGGTGTGCGAGGGGGTGGGCGTGGAGGTGGCGCTGCAGGCGCTGTGGGGTGTGAGGATGGTGAGGTGCGGCGGATGCATGTGGTGCTGCGCGCCATTCGTTAGCCCCGAAATGGTGGCCTCTGCTGTGCCCTCCTCGTGTGCACCTGCGGTGGGCTGCCTGTGCTGCAGAGCACTGCATGCACGCTCACACGGTGCAGCGAGGTGGGGCTCTAGGTGCTGCGCATGCGAGCAGTTGCACCTGGCGGCAGCAGTGGCGGGAAAGGGAGAATCTGCAGGGACAGCGGCGGGAGGGGTGTGGGGAGAGAAAGAGCAAGCACTGGACGGTGCGGAGTCGGTGGAGGGCACGGAGATAGGTGCAGTGGCAGTGGTGGCAGTGGCTGGAGTGGTGGGCGTGAGAGCAGGAGTGGAGTTGCAGAGGGGGCTGCTCTGGTCACTGAACCCGGGTGCACATGCCGTGGTGCACAGCGGCTTGCACGCAGCCTTGCGGGAGGGCCCTGTGGGTCTGGCAGCAGCGCGGGTGGCGTCACCGGCCCCACTGGCTCGGGCACTGCGTGAGCCGCGGGCATGATGATCACCCGTGACAACACCCGCTGCTCTCCTCATCTGGCTGTCCAGGCTGCCGCGCCCACCGCCCTCCCCCGCTTCTCCCCCGCTCATGCGCGCCCTCCGCGCCTCCACCTCCTGCAGCCAATCCACCGGCACCACCTCGTACGCCCTGCCGCCCCTGCCGCCCCGCCCGTCGCTCCTGGGCGGCATGGCGGGCGACGCGGTGTCGGCAGGAGAGGCGGGGGAGGTGGGCGTGGCGGAGAGGGTGCAGGTGGCGCGGAAGAGAGAGCGCAGGCGCGCGGATGAGGACGAGGAAGACGAGGAGGAGAGCGAGTGGGGGAAGGGCGCATACGCAGCGTAATCCGGAGCCTCGTTCACTGCGCACGCCTCTCCTCCTCCTCCTGCCGCTCCACACTCCCCACTCCTCACTGCCACGCCTCCCATGGCCGCCTCTTCCCCTTCTCGTCTCCCTGCGTCCGCCCCCTCTACACCCCTCTCCCTCCCCCCCAGCACCACCCCATTCCTTGCCCCGGAGCTGCCAGCGCCACGGCTGCTCTTCCCCTCGCTGTGCCGCCGCCTGCTGCCCTGCCCACCGTGCCCGCCCGTGACGTGTGTGTGGCGGCGGGAGGACACGCGGCGAGTGGAGCCGGGCACGGACGAGGCCCTGGCGAACAGCAGCGAGGGGGGGCGACGCACAGAGGAGGACAACGACGAGAAGGAGGAGGACGTGGCGAGCGGCGATGGGGAGGCGCGGGTGACGGTGGAGGGGCCGGGCACGGAGGAGGAGCGGAAGAGGCCCATGGGCCAGGGGGGCGGGGTGGGCGCAGCGGAGTGCACGTCTGCATGCAGCAGCCGCTGCACGTCCCTGCGCAACCCTTTGCCCGCCTTGCCGCATGCCTGCTCCTCCACCTGCTGCCTCGACACCTCCCCCTTTACGGATCCACGCTCCTCTGTGCCTCTAACCGCCTCTGTCGCCTCTCCTTCCTCCCCCTCTCCCCCCTCCGTTATGCTCTCGGACCTGTGAAACCGCTCCCGCCTGCCACCACTGCACGCGCCCTCCTCTGCGCGCGCTGCAGCAGTGTCCGCGTGCCCGCCTGGCTGCGCTGCTGCTGCTGCCATGCTGCCGTGAGGGGGAGCAGCAGCGAGAGCGGGCGGTGCAGGTGCAGAGGCGGGCGCGCAGGGGGAGGCGAGGGAGGGGGAGTGCGGACCCAGGGGCCCTGACTGGGTCCTCAGCCGCCCCTGCCTCCACCGCCGGCTGTACCGCCTTGCACCCTTCCCACTTCCACTCCCAACCCTCCCCTCCACTTTCCGCTTCCTCTCACCCTCACCCTCACGCTCGCTCTCGCACTCCCTCTCCCACTCCCCTCCGCTCTCCCCTCCGTCTACCCCCACTGCCCTCACCACTCCTGACCGAGGCCTGCTCTCACCACCCATACGCTCGCCGTCGCCCCTCTCAACAGCAATCAACGGGCCGCTGCCACGTGTCCTGCGGCCAAAGCTCCACGTGGGCATGAAGGAGCCACTGCCGCGCCGTTCCTGGAGCCATGAGGGGTGTGCATGTTGGTGGTGGTGGTGGTGGTGGTGGTGGTGGTGCTGTTGTGGTGTGCTACCTCGCTCCCTCTGCCTGCTACTACCACCACTATCATCTTCAGCTGCAGCAGCAACAGCACCACGGCCGTTACCCCCATCAGCATGAGCGTGAGCGTGGGCATGCGCGAGTGCAGCAGTGCGCCCATGGAGCCGCGCATCATGCGCATCGTGCGCGCCCTCCCCCACGGACAAGCTTCGCACTACTGTTACCCCTGATGATGACGTCACACTACTACCGCGCGCTGCCCCCATGCCCGCCTGCTGCGCCTCCAGTGTCCCGCTCACCGCCCCCCTGCCCTGCTGCCACGCCCCCGACCACGCCCCGCTCCACGCCTTCCCCAGCGATTGCCCCTGCCGCGCTCGCACTTGCCCCTCCCCTTTTCCCTCTTCTTCCCCCTCCCACCCCACTGTACCCCGCGCTTCCAAAACCCCGCTCTTCGCCTTTCTCTTCTTTCCCCCGTACTCCCCCCCTCGTCCCCCCTCCTCAGCTTCCGACCGCCGCCCCACAATGCGCCGCGCGCCGTCCAGGAACGACCCCGCGGCCCGCAACGAGCGCGCGGAGCGCCCGCCTTGGGGCAGCGAGAGCGACTCGGGGAGGGCGGGTGTGGTGGCGGAGGCGGAAAGGGGGTGAGAATGCGTGGAGAGGCGGCGGGTGCCCCGAGCCTCGATGAGCAGGCAGGTGGTGGGGAGGGCGGAGAGGAGCGTGGGGCGCGATTGGTGGTGCGCGGAGTGGGGCGCGAGGGACAGCGCGGAGAGGCGCGACCAGAGCACCGACCTGTTGGGGGGAAGGAGCGTGGGGGAGGGAGAAAAACGAGCGCAGAGAGGGGAAAGAGCAGGAGGGGGAAGGCGTTGGGTGGAAAGAACCGGGAAGGGAGTTGAGAGGGTGGACGCGAGGAGGCAAGGCAACAACAGATCCGGGGATCAGATGAAACGGTTGATGACACGACCACGCGGAAGGGCGACTCAGAAGAGCGGGGTGGGTAGAGGGGATGTGAGAGGTGGGGAAGAAGCGGGGAGCGAAAGGAAAAGGCGGGTTACCTCTTGACCAGGCCGATGTAGAGCCGCGTCGCATGGAAACGATGCGCCACGTCAGCGAGGCCGCGCTCCCTGGAGACACTGGCCTCCACGTGCATCACCGCCCTCAGCTGCCACGTCGCCACCGATACGCGCCGCACCCAGGCCGACAGCGCAACGGGTACGTGAAACACCGGGGGGGAGGGGGGAGGTAGGGGGAACGGGATGGGGAGGGGAAGAAAACAGGGTAAGAGGGGGAATAGAAGGGGATGGGAGATGGTGAGGGGAAAGTGAGAAGGGGTGAGAGCGCAGCAGCGGAGACGCAACAGCGACGATGCGACTGGCGACGGCGTGCGCGAGGAGCTCGAGTCGGTGACTGACTGCACGCGACATGGAGGGGCAGCAACGATCGAGCCTAGGACCGCCGGGCTGCGAAAGTGCGCGTACCTGGTGCTGCTGCACGGCGACCTGCAGCGGCTTGAGCAGCGCCCACTTGAGCGCCTCCTCCGTCTCCGCCTCCGCCTCCACATCCGCATCCGCCGCCGCCTGCTGCCCCTGCCCTGCTGCCCCCCTCGGTGACTCCGCGCCGTGGGACGAGGGACCTGGAAGAGCGGAGAGGAGCGGAGCGAAGGGTCAGCACGAGGAGAGCATGGCTCGTGGCGGATTACGGGACCTACTGGCTATGCTCTCACTATCCTCTCTCTCTATCTCTAATGGTCCTCACTGTATCTCTCTCTCTCTATCCAACTCCCTCGCTATCTCCATCTCGAATGTATGCCCCACCCTCGGCTGCCGCTTCTCATTCGTCCGCCCCGTTTCCACCACCCAGCGCCGCGCTCACCTCGCGTGTCGCAGCCCGCGACCACGTGCACGAGAATGAGGAGAACGCGACCCGACCGCTCGTTCTTCGCCTCCTCTACTGCTACCGCGAGTCCCGCCGCCTCGCCCGCGCCATCCCTAATATCGCCTCTCGCTCCCACCCGCCCGCTCTTGCTGCTCGAAGCGGACGCTCCTCCGGGCCTCACGACTTCCACCAACCAATGCGACAGCTGATCGTCGCCTCGCATTTCCGTGCGATGAATACCTTAGCGACTCTTTGGCACTGAAAGCGCTATGCTTGGCGATAAACAGTTGGATAGGACGGTAGGATAATAACGTCGAGGGGAGGGCAAGATTGCAATCCTATTCCGAATCTCTCAGTATCCAAAAACGACCAATACCGTAGGTCAAATATAGACGCATACGTGTAACTATCATGCGCGTAAATAACAGCTGTACGTAGACACTGGACGGCTGCAACTACTAAAACTCGTTGGAGCTAGCTCATTCTGGGCTGGTTTCAACTAACCTCCCTCTTGCACCAAGAAAGCACCGCCAGCAGACAGAAGCAACTCGGGGATGGGTTTGCTTCGCGCACACAAGGGAGTCAGCCGAAACGGTTAAGGACATCTGACTTTCGGCTGGGCAGGGCAGCTGCTGGAATCGGAACCACTCACACGGCGGTGGGATGCTTTGGCTGCTTGCCTCAACTGCTGCAATGAAGTGTGTGCAGGTCACAAGTCATGACGCATGTGGGCGAACTCTGGCAGACATGTTGTGCGAAGCACACCTGCACCCTGGGAATGGGCTCGCCACGGGGCTCCTCCACGTGCAGTTTGTTGAGGGCTTATTGTGGAGCTCTGTAGGTTTCTGTACGAGTGTACACATCATGTTCACAATACACAGTCTTGGGCAGACAATAATTAACCTAGACGCACAGAAACATTTACTGTACAGTACAGAACACATAGGCCTGCGGGCGCATCCACTGGATTACCCGACGAGGAGGCGGCGTGCCTGCCACCCGTCACTCTCCACTCCAACCACATGCTTCACCTCCTCCGAAACGACCATCGCGTAGAGCCACAAAATATGTGTAGCCACGATGAAAGCACGTCAACAAGAGGCTTCATTGTGCTGGCAGATACCATCAGAAGTTTCAGTTTCACTCAGTTTGAGAGAAATCCATTCCACCCCGGACAGCGAGACTGTTGTTGGCGGAACCAAACTTAGTACACATGATGCTCAACAACCGTCCACCCTTACTAATTTTTGGGTTGCGTAGCAACCCTTTATATTTGGTTTCACATTTTGGGGATATCATTTCAAAGGTGATTTTCCATACACTCTTTGGAGCACACATTTGAACTTCCAAGACTTTGTTCAAACGGATGCCTGAAATAGTCAATAAAAACCACTCTTGAATGAGATCCATAAGCGTGAAACCATGCACGTGCGTATCATGTTGAAACCACGAACTTGTTCGACCGTCCCACCTCGTCGATTAATACGGCGGATGGTACGGCCGAGCATAATATTCTGGATTCAACATGAACGAATGCAATTGTACAGATGAACAACAAAGTATGAAATGTAGGTGGATGCTTCAAAATGAATGTTAAAATGCATCATGTAACGACAGAGGTTGATGGGGTCGTTGAAACAGCGAAAACCCGCTGCCCCAAAGACGATTAACAACCTCTAATTGCATACATGACACATACTAACACCACACTTTGAAACACACATCCCACAAACATGAATGCAAATGCACGTAAAAAAATGTACAACCCATCTAACCAAACGCATTAAAATGCAACCCCACAGTGAAACAAACACAACGAGCACACCCACACAAACACACACATACATACACAAATAGGATTGATAGCAGACAAAACAAAGAGTTGCAATAAGTTAATTATGTATCAATCACTGCTACTTCCTCCCCCTTTCCGCCTGCCTTCCTCTCCCTCCATCAAAATCTCCTTCCACCCTTTTCCACATTGACTTCGTCTCTCGAATTACCCTCCCTGCTCCCCACAACGCATCTCGCACACCTTGCAAAACAAACAGGTCAAGTAGAAAATGAATTGTAGTCAGAAAACCGAGTGAATTTCAGTGACGAGCATGCACTTGATTGTGAAATAGAACTTGAAAAGCAAGTATGGGTTGAAATATGATAAGTACAAAAGGAAACCAAATTTGACGACTCACAAGTGTGGTTTGAGGCATAGATTCCCTGGGGTCAAGCACGCCATGCTGGTGGCTCCAGCAAGGAAGGTGCAACGGGCTGGGCATCGCCATGCTACAAGGTGCTAGAGAGTTGCAGCAAGGCACCGGCAGAGGAGCAAGGGGGCAGCCGTAGCAAGGCATGAGCTCACTGCAGAAAGGCGTGAGCTCACTGCAGCAAGGCATGAGCTCACTGCAGAAAGGCGTGAGCTCACTGCAGCAAGGCGTGAGCTCACTGCAGAAAGGCGTGAGCTCACTGCAGCAAGGCGTGAGCTCACTGCAGCAAGGCGTGAGCTCACTGCACCAAGGCGTGAGTTCACTGCAGCAAGGCGTGAGCTCACTGCAGCAAGGCGTGAGCTCACTGCAGAAAGGCGTGAGCTCACTGCAGCAAGGCGTGAGCTCACTGCAGCAAGTCGTGAGCTCACTGCAGCAAGGCGTGAGCTCACAGCAGCAAGGCGTGAGCTCACTGCAGCAAGGCGTGAGCTCACCGCAGCAAGGCGTGAGCTCACTGCAGAAAGGCGTGAGCTCACTGCAGCAAGGCGTGAGCTCACTGCAGCAAGGCGTGAGCTCACTGCAGCAAGGTGTGAGCTCACTGCAGCAAGGCGTGAGCTCACTGCAGCAAGGCGTGAGCTCACTGCAGCAAGGCGTGAGCTCACAGCAGCAAGGCGTGAGCTCACTGCAGCAAGGCGTGAGCTCACTGCAGCAAGGCGTGAGCTCACTGCACCAAGGCGTGAGCTCACTGCAGCAAGGCGTGAGCTCACTGCAGCAAGGCGTGAGCTCACTGCAGCAAGGCGTGAGCTCACTGCAGCAAGGCGTGAGCTCACTGCAGCAAGGCGTGAGCTCACTGCAGCAAGGCGTGAGCTCACTGCAGCAAGGCGTGAGCTCACTACAGCAAGGCGTGAGCTCTCTGCAGCAAGGCGTGAGCTCACTGCAGCAAGGCGTGAGCTCACTGCAGCAAGGCGTGAGCTCACTGCAGCAAGGCGTGAGCTCACTGCAGCAAGGCGTGAGCTCACTGCAGCAAGGCGTGAGCTCACTGCAGCAAGGCGTGAGCTCACTGCAGCAAGGCGTGAGCTCACTGCAGCAAGGCGAGAGCTCACTGCAGCAAAGCGCCAGCGCGCAAGGCGCGAGCGCGCAAGGCGCCAGCGCGCAAGGCGCCAGCGCGCAAGGCGCCAGCGCGCAAGGTGCCAGCGCGCAAGGCGCCAGCGCGCAAGGCGCCAACGCCCAAGGCGCCAGCGCCCAAGGCGCCAGCGCGCAAGGCGCCAGCGCGCAAGGCGCCAGCGCGTTGGGCGCCAGCGCGTTGGGCGCCAGCGCGTTGGGCGCCAGCGCGCAGGGCGCCAGCGCGCAAGGCGCCAGCGCCCAAGGCGCCAGCGCCCAAGGCGCGAGCGCCCAAGGCGCGAGCGCGCAAGGCGCGAGCGCGCAAGGCGCGAGCGCGCAAGGCGCGAGCGCGCAAGGCGCGAGCGCCTTGCGCAAGGCGCCAGCGCGCAAGGCGCCAGCGCCCAAGGTGTGAGAATAAGCGAACAGGAATGAATGAACTAGCAGTGAAAATGAGTACAAGTAGGAAACCCTAGAATTGTGTACCCCCTATAGGCTAACCCACTGTAGCCTACACAAGCATAACATATATAATGTTTGACACACCCCCATAGGCAAAGTGGGGGAGAACAAGGGGTCACAAGACCAGTCAAGCAGAGCAAAGCAAGCTCAGGGTGGATCACAAAGTCACCACACAGTCCGAGCACAAGAGCAGGGCCAGAGGCCAGTTCAGATGCAGGAGTACAGACATATATATAAAACTAGACAAGCAAGAGCAGGTATATATATATGTCACAGTACAAGTGAAGTCAACAGAAGAGCAAGTGAGGCAAGACAGGCACAAGACCCAACTGGGTGCAAAAGCGCTGATGGTCACAAGGCGCGAGTGCCTTGGTGAACACATCAGCAGTGTTGGCCTCAGAGGCCACGTACGCAAGTCGCAATTGACCACGCTGCTGTAGCTCACGAGCAAGGAAGTAGCGGAGAGCAATGTGCTTCGTTCTGTGCTCCAAGCGCTGCTCTCGACACAAGGCCAGCATGGCCTTGTTGTCTACGTACAGCACTGGAGGAGAACGAGGCGGCTCTCCAAGGTCAGTCAGCAGGTAGGTGAGCCAGCGAAGCTCCTGTGCAGCCATGACCCCGGCGTAGATCTCAGCCTCACAACTGGAGCCGAGAACCGAAGACGAGCGAGTAGACCGCCACGAGACAGAGCTGGAACCAAGGCTGAAGGTGTAACCCTGTGACGACCGCTGCGTAGCCTGGTCGTCAGCCCAAGAAGCGTCCGCGTGGCCGGTAAGGACCACTGGACTCCGCCCTCCAAGCACTAGCCCCATGCCCGACGTACTGCACAGGTAGCGCAATACCCTCTTCGCTGCAGCCATGTGCTCTGGTCTGTGTCTCCCAGGAGCAACATAGCGTGCAAGAATGCTCAGAGGGTATGCAAGGTCAGGTCGTGTGCAGGTCATCAGGTACATGAGGCAGCCAACAAGCTCTGCATACGGACCACTCGACTCTACGGACTCATCCGAAGGCAGAGCTGAGAGTGAGTGGCGAGTAGGCAGAGGAGTGGCCTGAGGCGAGGAGTACGTGAAGCCGAAGCGCTGAAGGACCTGCTGCACCATGTGTGACTGAGTCAAGGTAATGGTGCGGCGTGCTCTGTCCCGAGTGATCTGCAAGCCAAGGTAGCTGCGCAGTTCACCCAGGTCTGTGCACGTGTGTCTCTTCAGCAGCTCGGACTTCACGTAGGCGAGTCCAGCAGTGTCCGCTGTGGCAAAGACCAAGTCGTCGACGTACACGAGGATGTAGAACGGCGGCAGGGAAGTGTCGGTGCGAAGAAACAGCGACGGGTCAGCAGTAGAAGGAGCAAACCCAAGAGCCGCAAGCGTAGTCCTCAGTGTGTTGTGCCACTCACGCGGTGCCTGGCGGAGACCGTAGACTGGCCGTCGGAGGCTCCACTGGGTGCCAGGAGGGAAAGTCCCAGTGA